TCAACGGTTCAAAATGAACAAGATCTGTAGGAGCGAATTGCTGTCTTCAGTATGGTAACTACAAGGATGCACACCTACTGATTGACCGCTCCATTAGCCATTCTATGTGCGTTTGGGAATTCTGAAAACTTGTTCTAAATGATATATTTTTGTTGTATGAATGCCAATTTACCGGTACGCTGACCGTTATTCGAAATAAACAACTATCCTCCACCAGGCACCGCCTTGTGAAATTAGAACATAATAAGTAAAGGTAGTCCGCTTTGATCGCATGGTACATGCCATAAGGGATTACATGCAAGCTGGGGATGAACTCGTAGACCACCTCATTGACAACTTACTTGAGGTTGGGGTCCTGAGAATGCTCTTTTTCACCACTTCCACTACGTGTAAGTAGCTATTCAATTGTATCTTTGAAAGATTGAACGTAGTATCCTCCGTGGACATCGTTGATATTACGAAGACTGTTTGTATAGTATCACTCATCCTGACGCTTGATGGTAAACATCTGAAGACTTGTTCGTATCTTTAAAAGAGCATTTCTACTCAACTAATTAACGAGAGCAGAACGATAGAAACTGATTACCCAAGAACTAAAAAAAAAATGTCGGAGATTCAGAGATGTATTTTTTGGACGTCGGAATAGGATTATAAATATCTATTCTGGTTATTGCAATAATTTCATTTTCCCAGCGGAGATAACATTGCTTGACGGTGCCACGTGTGTATATCGGAGCATCAGCGACGTGTTCTTCTATGTACTTGGAGATATAGCAGAAAATGAGGTAATTTAAATTTGATTAAAATTAGTACTGTCGGTCAGCTCATTCTAGTGAGCGCCCTCAACTGTTTATTTGATTCAGTTAACCAAATTCTGAAACGCTGTGTGGAGAAAAAGACTGTTTTAGACAATCTTGATTTGATCTTTCTCACAGTGGACGAACTTTGCAACAGCGGGTAACTTGTATTTCAATGTACAATAGCGTTTCAGAATTTTAATGGAATGTGATGCTAGTGCTCTTGTTGCTCGAGTTGGTACTCGAACAGAAGATATTCCTCTGGGAGAACAAACAGTTGCACAGGCAAGTGTATAATTCCAATGGATGTCTCGCGTTTCCTATTGCCATGTTTTGGTTTCACACGTGACGTACAATTCCTTTGAAAGTAAAATGTAGTACGTAGTATAATTGATAGTCTGGCTTTAGAATAACTGTATTTATCATCTGGCTACTTATGATCAGTCAGTTTAGATGAAGTCCATCGTTTTTGCTCGAAAATTGGCTTTACGCGTTTTTCGTATTTCTCGCATGTATTCACGTTTCTCACCTGTATCATATGCCTTAGAAACGTTAAATGTAATTCCTGCAAAATCATGAAAAGACTTATCTAAATCTAATTGATTCCTCAAATATTTGCAGCTATTAGTTCTGAAGTAACACCAGACTGGTTGCAATGTTCCCACGAAGCTGTGATATGCTAACTTACGGAACATGTTCAGAGGAGAGGAGCATGCGCTTTGCACCTTCAAAGTGCAAAGTGATGCTACAAGACTGGGTGTCGTCTACCCCAGCGCTGATGCTTGATGGTCAAGAATTAGCTGTAGTGGAATGTTTCACATACTTAGGTAGCTGCGTTTCAAATGACGGTAGCATAGTCAATGAAAAAACCGCCCACAGTTCCAAGGCTCGAGCAGCTTACGCAGCATTGAAACACCTTTGGTGTAGACGCGATGTTTCGTCGAAACTGGAAGGTATACTGCGCCAGTGTGCGGCTAGTTCTGCTCTATGGTTGCGAGACCCTAACTTTGCGCGTGGAAGATATACGTCGTCTTGAAGTATTCGACTGCAGATGTTTACGTAATTTGGCTCGGGTTGGATGGAGCGAGCTTGTAAGCAACTCCGAGGTGATGCGTCGCGTATTTGGTAATGATTCGATGGAGAATTCATTGTCCCATGGAATTCAGATTAGTCGGCTTCGCTGGTTAGAACACGTACTGCGCATTTCCAGCGATCGTCTGCCGCACCGCTCCTTATTCGCGATAACGACTCCAGGTAGGAAGAAACCGCGTAGTGGCCAACGGATGACGTGGAAGCGAGGCATGAAGAAATGCACAGAGCGATTAGGTAGAATCGGTGTTTCCCGTCTTCCAGGTTGGGGTCCGAAAGACTCTACAACTGGTTGGCTGGAGATATTAAAGGATATGGCNGATATGGCGACTAACCGACAGCAGTGGCGTTCTTGTAGTCATTTCGTAACAAGTCAGAATGCTTGAAAATGTATGTATGAAAACCTAGATTGTGTACTCTGTGTGTTGAACATAGAGGTTCTTTTTCTTTGCCTCCCTCCAAGTAGGCCCAATCCCTCTCCATCTTTTGCTTTATCACTCGATTTGTGTNNGCTTCACTGTATCTCGCTGTACGATGATGATGATGAACTTTTGATTTTTTTGCAAAGAGGTGGAGAGAATCAACAGACATATCGTATTGAATTACTCAATTGATCGTAAATCAGGATCATTCGTCCTGCCGAGATAACCATAAACATGAAAGGTGCATTCATTTACCGCTTTATCGTTGGTTTGCGGGTGTAAATAGTTCTGCCGATTATATTGGCTCGAGGCAAAGCGGACTAAAATTAAGTTTCAATCTGGGCGTTGTTTTCACTTTATTAAGATTCTCCTTGTCTAATCGGAATAAGACTGGGAAAGGGAAGAGGTTCCAACTGAATGGTGTGAATCGGTGATCAGACCGATTTTCAATAAAGGTAACAGATCCTCTTGTGAAAAGCACAGAGGAATTAGTTTAATCAACAGGGTTCCTAAACTTCTCGCTGGGAGCATACTCTGTCGATTGTCTGTCACACGTGAACGGTGCACGCGTGAGAACCAGACGGGCTTTAGACCTAATCGAGGTTGTATCGACCGCATCTTCACTCTTCGCCAAACTCTAGAACACAGACACTCCTTTCGTAGACCTACCAGCTGTCTTCCGAGATCTGAAAGCGGCTTTCGACTCAGTTGACCACTCTAAACTCTGGCGCTACCTTTCTCTGAAAGGTGTGCCCGAGAAGTCAACTTCAATATTACAATCCCTTTATACTAATAGCCGAAAGCGAGTGCGAGCTTATGGTATTTTTTCATCCGAGTTCAGCACGGAAAGTGGTGTTCGTCACGGTTGCCCTTCCTCTCGTTTTTTATTTAACTTTTTGTAGATCTGACTATGAAAACAGCCCTTATTCTCTTGCGAGGATAGTGGCATCGATTTACTCCCAGGTAACAGGCTGTCTGATCTAGAGTAAGCAGTTGACACTGTGCTACTAAGTGAAGATCCGGGTAAGTTACAAGGTTTTCTAGACAGTGTGAGTGCTGGTTAACCAGGTTTGGTATGCGTTTTGCACCTTCAAAGTGTAATGTTACTTCAAGACTGATTTGGTCCAGCACCCAGCCTCACCCTAACTGGAAAAGTAATAGACCAACTGGATAAGTTTTGTTTCTTGGACAGCTACATCTCACCCGTTGGCCGCGTCACGGATGGAGTGTCAGTTCACATGCAGAAGGCCCGGTTGGCATTTGCCAACTTGGGACATCTGTCGCGACATCCGGCTGTCTGTTAAGAGTTGAGTGTATGATGCGGCAGTTCGATCAGTTCTATACTGCGCAGAAACTTGGCCACTAAGAAAACAGGATAAAAATAGATTGTTGGTTTTAGAGTATCAAGCCTGGATTAGCCCATGCGATTGTTCAGAGGTACCAGGCACTGCCTAGCGCCACGCACTGCTGACGAGTCCCAAACGGGACAAAACAGCTGTCCAGTGCTCTTTGTTGGTTATCACAAACATTTCCATCGCATTTAGGAGATTGTCGGTGTTCGAACACCGCTGTCTATGCAGCATTGCACGAATCTGGTGGGACAGCCGGACGAGCAATGCTGAGGTTAGGCGCAGAGTTTTAGGTAACTGCGGTCGTACACTGGAGGAAGTGGTCTACCTCCAAAGATTACGTTGGTGGGGGCATGTGTTATGCATGTCACCAAATAGGTTGCCACGGCGAGGCAGTTAGTGGGTGTAATAAAGTCAAGGGTGGTCAAGCTAAGACCTGGCATGAGGCTATGAAAACCCTAACTAAGAGTCTGGGTCACATAGGTCCCGTTAGGCTTCCTGGATGGGGACCCTGGGATGGTCGTAACCGATGGTTAGAGTCACTGAATTATTTGGCTGGGTGTCGTAAACAGTGGCGTTCGTGCATCTCCTCAATTTGTTTGCAACCTTAGGCCACTGAACTTTTCCCTTTTCTTTTCGACTCCACCTTTAAGTTTCCTTTCTTCTCCTATTCTTCATCCAAATGGGTAACCTGAAGACAGCAACCGAAACCGGCACACGAAAGTGCATGGTTAATAGTTGTGCGAAGTGAACTGAACTAAATGTTGTCTCCAAACACGCACATACAAGACCCTACTTGCCCCATCACTGATTTCGTAAGGTCCAACACCCTCGGACCTCACTCTCCGCATATCAGACGATTTGGTGCCACTGGTTGGATGAAATGAAGTAACCTCTATCGCAAACGTTAATATGTTCTTCATCCAATTTTTCTGTGCCTTAGCATTCGACAAAACTCCATCGTAATATTGAAACCGTAACTATAAGCACTCTAGAAGATCTGCTTTTCTACCCCGCCCGAGTTTCACTTGAATACTCTGCATAACTCATTTTTAAAGAAGTTGTATTATTCTCTGAATAACCGGAACCAAAAAAACATTGAAACCGAAAAATGATCTCTGCGAAAATCATTTTTTCAATTTTTTGTCAGGTGTCTGACCCAAAGGCGAACAGTTTACTGATGGAGTTTAAGCACAGGTTTCAGTTGCTGGATTAATGCGCCTATTTGGCGGTTCGGTCGATTTTTAGTGGAAACTATTACCCAGATCTGAAATAAAATAAGCAAGCAGTTGAAGAAAGATCATCTCACAGATTTCGAAATTCAGATATTTGATGATGTCATGGTAAAATCGCAGAAGCTCAAAAATAAATGCATATTAACAAAGGCGACGGTTGATTTTGTAAGCTAAAGGTGAAAACTTATCCGTTGCCAATCCTTTTGATCTGTCTCAAAGTTAGATTTTTGCATCCTAACATTCGAAAACGTATGGCTCAAACTGTAAAGTAGACCTCATTGGACTAATGGCTCCCGATCGGGGTTGACAGATAGTGACCTTGTTGTTGTTTCCCGGATCTACAAGTGAATGTCTGTCATCGATGGCGATATCCACACATGCTTTAGTCAAACTCAAAGTAAGGTAGCTGGCTCATTGGGTGATAATCGGGCAAGTGTTATTTTTTATTGAGTATCTGTGGTTGCATTGATTTGTAAAGAAAACTGGCCCTTGGGTGCGGATTTCGTTTGATCTATTCTGAGGTCGACTGTAGCTTAGTCAAACGGAATGAGCACCATTCACTATTTTGGAATGGCTGATTTTTTTGTTGCCTAAGGACGCTGGAAACATCCTGTAGTTGCGTTTCCCAATTCTTGTCAATGGCAATTATGATTCGTCAGACATTCTCCTCTCTAACCAAAGAAGTTGATTCGTTGATTCTCATGCGACACACGCAATGTTGATGGTTTCTCCTATCTACTCTCATTTTTCAGGCTTTACAAAATGCAAAGGAACAAATCAAGTTATCTCTGATGAAGTAGTTCATACAGTATGCTTTCTCCTTGTACCTGTGATTTTCTTGGTCAATATAAGTTGTTTTGTTATTATTGGAGTTTTGGTATGTCGGAAATGGTTAGGCGATGTTTCATGCTGCTGTTTCAGTTTGATGTAGATAATACCATAGTACTCTGTCAAATTTGGTTATTCTCTATGTATGACCTTTCGGTCTCTGACACCGAACAGTCATGTTCCGTCAAAAAGCAAACTACAGTACTTACAAGTCAAGTCAAGAGTGC